ATTTGTATGTATTAGGTAAATTTTGACCTTATACTTGTACTGTACTATACTAAATTTTATATTAATTATTATGTGTACTAACTGTATTAAACTGTATTAAGCTATACTAATTATACTAATTTTTCAACCTTGCGTATAAGGATACTATTGCTGTTAAAGCATATATGAATAAATTTGTCACTCCAAAGGTTGTTTTAACTCAGATGAGTGATTTAAATAATGCTATTGCTACTTTAATGTAACAAATACAACAGATGAATATAAATAATAATAATATTATTACACAAAATAATAATATTCCAAATCTACAAGCCCTACAATTGTTGACACAAATATTACAATAATAAGAGGGTGATAGCAGTAATCAGTCTTTAAACTAAAAGGTATATCTCAAGAAAGTAATAGTATGAAACCTCTTACAGTTTTCTTAACTTATCTATATAGGAAGCATTTGTAAATAGAAAAAGGAAAATCATTGATGAAAAAGATGTAATAAAGGAAAAGGAAAACTAACAAAAAAATATTATAATAAAAGAACTACTAAACTAAAAGGAAAACAAAAGCCCCCTGCAGTACCTCCAGTAGTTCATATGGTTAAGTCATATACAACTCAACAATTTTTTGATACACAAGCAAACATAACGAATGGTCAACTATTAGTTCTAAACCAAAAGTTTGCAATGGATGTGGTTAAGAAATTGTGAAAACCTATTACAAGGAAGCCAAATAAAGGAAAAGTTCTTGTAGTAGTGGAGGAAACGATCTACCTAAAAGAAAATGAATTAAATAGAGGACCCTCTGGATCAAAGGCAATAGATACTGAAGAAGTCAATAAAGGAAATAAGTATCTTACATCATAAGAAACATATAACTCATCTAAAAAGGATAAACAAAAATCAACAATCTTATACTGTTAAACACATATTAAAAATAAGGAGATATATTTAATCATTGATTCAGGATCCTTAGGATGTATTATATCCTATGCATTACTCAAAGAACTAGGCATACAAATACAAAAGGAGTCAAAAACAATAATGATTAATATAAATGGTGAAAGAAGAAAGCCTATAGGAATAGTTACAAATATACTCTTAAAAATAATGAGAAAGATAATTTTCTAAGATGCAATTGTAACTGAAACAAATTCCTATAACACAATTGTAGGAAATAATTGGCTAAAGAAAACAGACGCAAAAATAAGCTATAGAAATAAAATTATAATATTGTACTGGAAAGAACACATAATCAATGTCCTCATTGAATTTCACCAATTACCTTTAATTATAACTGAACAAGTTGATAATGATGAAAGTGAAAAAGAGTATAAAGAAGATGAATATGAAGAAGAGAGTGAAGAGGAAAATGAATAAGAAGGATTATTTTGTCACTCTGAAGAAATTCCAATTGAAGAAGTTCAGAAGATTGATAAAGAGTTAGAAAAGCCTACTATAGAAAGTCAAAATATAAAAGAATACTTTTATTAATATAAGGAGATAGAAAAAGGAGCCTTTCATACTGAACGATTGACAGCATAACAACTAAAAAGATTTAATGAATTCATATCTCAATATATTGACCTATTTATTTGGAAAAATAATTAGTTTAGAAGAACAAATGTTATCACATATTTCATTGATACTGGAGATATAACGCTAATCAAGTAAAGATTCTATCAAACCTCATATAAAAACTAAGAGTTCATAAAAGAAGAAATTGATCACCTACTAAAATTAGGATTCATATAACCTTTCAAAAGCCAATGGACTTCGCCTGTTATAGTAGTAAAAAAGGAGAATGGTAAGAAACGTTTATGTGTTGACTATTATAAGATAAACAGTATCACTAAAAAGAATAACTATCCGTTACTACATATTGATGATATGTTGAAACATTAAAAGGATCCAGATGGTTTACTTCTCTAGATCTTGTAAATGGTTTCTGACAAGTAGAATTAGATCTAAAGGATAGGAAAAAGACTACCTTTATTACTAGATTTGGCATATATGAGTTTAATGTTATGCCCTTTAGACTTTACAATGCTTCTGCAACATTTCAGCGATTAATGGATACCATTTTACAAGATATCTTATGGCAAAGTGTGGTTGTATATATTGATGATATTAACATTAGTACTAAAATATTTAACAAGCATCTTTTATAACTGAAACAAGTATTTTCACATTTATGATAAGCTGGACTAAAATTAAGCCCAGAAAAGTGTTTCTTCTTTGAACAGGAATTACTATTCCTTGAACATGTGATTAGTAGAGAAAGTATTCAAATAGATCCAAATAAAATAGCTGTTATGAGAAACTTTCCAATACTAAAAGACTTGATACAACTTAAAGGATTCATTGCTTTGATCTTATAATACAGAAGATTCATAAAAGGCTTCACTGATATAGTTGAACGTTTAAATAGATTATTTAAAAAGAATACTCCTTTCATTTGAATATAAGAGCAACAAGACGCATTTGAACAATTGAATAGATGTTTGACATTTTCACCTATCCTTGCATATCCAGATTTTGAGAGACTCTTTATCCTATATACTGATGCTTCTTCCTTTGCTTTAAGAGCAATTCTCTCTCAAAAAGACGATTAGAAAAGAGAACGAGTAATTGCATATGCAAGTAGGACTTTGAGACCTCCTAAAAGAAAATATTCTGCAACTAAAGTAGAATGCTTAGCTGTTGTATAGGTAGTCAATATTACTATCATTATTTACATGAATATAAATTTACAGTAATAACCGACTATGCTGCTTTGGCCTATTTGAAGAATATGAAAAATCCTATTGGATGACTTAGACGTTGGCTAATAACTTTTAACTCTTATGATATGGAAATTATTAATCGCCCTGAAAAACTTTATTTAAATGTAGATACTTTAAGTTAGATACAACATTAAAGAGTTTTTCAACAAATTTATAAAAGCAAACAGATTTATTCTTGCAGATACTCTTACGGATAACAGATTCTGATTTTAACCTAACTATAGATTCAGATACATATTTTTTACTGGTACACTATTTATCAGAACTTAAATACCAACATATTTAAACCAATAGCAACAAGCAGCAATTAAAAGAAGGTCAAGATATTTTATTATGATAGAAGGATAACTTTACAAAAAGAATAAACAAGAACTCTAACGACCTTTAAAGGTTGTAAAAATTAATTAAGTTAATATTATATTGTACAATTTGCATTCTGATCCTTTGGCAAAACATTTTGTATTAGAGGAAACCTACAGGAGAATCAAAGTAAGATATTATTGACCATAAATGTATGATAATGTGCGACGATATGTTCAAACTTGTGATGAATATCAGAGGAAAGGTAAAATAAGAGGATTGAGCTATTCTATTCTATAAAAGTGGAACAACCCTTTGATCAAGTGGGAATGGATATTGTTAGACCTTTACCTATAACAAATAGAGAAAATAAATATATTGTGATTACAACTGATTACTTGACTAAGTGGCCTGAAACTAGAGCTCTTATAGATGCAAAAGCATCCTCAGTAGTTCCTTTCTTTTATAAGAATATAATTTGTAGATATGGATGCCTCAAGGAATTATTAATTGATAAAGAAACGCATTTTGTAAACCAAATGCTGTATTCTCTATGTAAAGAACTGAGAGTAAAACATAAATTGATAACTGCGTATCATTCTCAAACCAATAGCCTTGTCAAGAGATTTAATAAGACATTATGTGAAACACTAGCAAAATTTGAAAATGAAAATAAAAATGATTGGGATGATTTTCTACCATTCACCTTATTTGCATATTGAACAAAAAGGTATAGTACTACACAACATGAACCTTTTTACTTAACCTATAGGAGAAATGCTACATTGCTGATCAAATTTCAAGTACAAACATTATAAATGCTAAAGGTAACATTAGATGAACAAGAAGATTTAATTAATCATGTATGATAAATAACTGGAAGAATGGATAATAAAATATAATAAGTACAAAATAACATTTAAAACTCTTAAAAAAAACAAAAGAAGAAATATGATCGCAAATTGAAAGAAAGTGTTAATTTTAAAGTTAGAGAATTAGTTTTAATGTATAAAAGTAATTTATAAGATAAAAAGAAGCTTGAGGAAAGATGAAAGGGACTGTATTACATTCATGCTAATCTTGGGAATAGAGTATACAAATTGAGAACATTGGATAGAAAAATCTTAAAAATACCTATAAATGGTAATAGATTAAAACAATACCACTAATGTGATCTACCTCAGCTTATTATACTGATTGAAAATTGAAGAAATTTATGAAAAATGCTAGAACATTTTGGCTGAAAAATATTTAAATAGGAGGGAACCTAACTTGAAATTGCTAAATTAATAAGATAGAAGAGTTGAAAGCGCTTCTACCTATACTGAAACATTTTTCCAGAATTTTTAATTAATTTATATGAATCTGCAACTCACCATACCTTAAGAAATTGAGATGTATCCTTCACCTTACAGTGAAACTATGTTTGTGAAAATGAAGTTCTTCCTTGTAAATCAAATACTACAAAGGGCTAAATGAATGAACAATCATGTTCTAATACTAACAAATGCCTTTTATCTTGAAAAACTTATAAAGAAATAGAAGACCTTACAGTTCACTCAGTGTATGTCAAGAAATTGTCTAAACATTACTATCACGCATCTATACAAATATATTATCTCTTTGAATTTTTTAGACTAGCATAAATTGCATAAAGTAAAAGAACCACCTTTAAATTGATAGTAGGACTATTAACAGTGAAATGCACTTGGCCTTTAGATTGATAATGCATTTAATACGAAGCAGCATATTGATGATAATATTTTAAAAATAAAGGTAAACTACTTTACTAACCAGTTTTCAATAGAAGATTTTTGTTATTCAGATGAATAGTTAACTGGCTTTATAAAATATTATAATTTACACCAGTTTAAGAAGCAAAATGAAGCTGCAAGTGTATCTTCTGCTGAATCAATAGAAAATGACTGCCTTGCTTTACAGCAGCTTCTTGCATCTTATAGTCCAAAGAATATTTGAAATGGTGATAAAACAGGTCTTTTTTGGAAAATAGAACCCTCTAGAGTTTTAGCATATACTTCTTTATCAGAACATAAAAAAGAAAAATATCCTGTTATAATATTTTGTGTAGCAAATGCAACTGAAATAGAAAAGATGGCTCTTATATTTATTCATAAATACAAAACTTTTTATGTCATGAAAAATATTAATTACAAAAATCTTTCAGTTTATTATTTTTGAAACAAAAAAGCTTGAATATAAATTAGTATTTTTAATGATGTCCTTCTTAAACTTAATGAAATAATGAAATGAAAAAATAGAAAGATCATTCTTTTAATTGATAATGCGCTAATACACTTTATTTTAAATGAAACTCAAGAAAAGTTAGATAGTATAGAGGTAAAATTTCTCCTACCAAATACTACCATTGAACTTCAACCATGTGACGCAGGCATTATTCATTTATTTAAATGTCATTATAAATGCCTTTTTATCTAAAATTAAATTAATGCATATGATGATATACAGGATGGTTTAGTGAAAAAACTTAGTGATTATATAATTTATGATGCTTTACAAAATGCGGCTGAAGCATAGTCTATAATATTATTTCAAATAATATCAAACTGCTGGAAAAAAACAGGTATTCTTTTACCAAATAATAAAATTAACAAAATTTCTGATGATTATGATTCAGTAATTTCTGATAGGTATTATATACTATATAATTTATATATAGGTATTATTTATCATGAAATTTTATTAATACAGCTATTTTTTTAATCTTAATACAGAAATTGATGAGCTTGTTATATTAATTTCCTAGCTTTCAAGAAGTGATCTCGATGCACATGAATATCTTCATTTAGAGAAGGAGATACCAGAGGGTAAACTTACAGATCGTGAAATAATTAATGTTATTTTAAATGAAGAGAAGCATATGACAGATGAAGATAAATCTATACCTATATTGGAAAAAGTTAGTTTAACAGAAGTAGAAAATGCTGCAGATAAAATGATGAGATTTTTATATGAGCAAGAACCAAAGTTTGGTGAAGTAAACAAAAAATTAAAAGTTTTAAAGAGATTGCATAAGTGAGTTACAGTACTAATTGTAAAAAATTTAAAATAAGATGATATTTATAATTACTTTTATAATAATATTGTTGAGTAATAAATTCAAAATAATGTATTATATATAGCTGTAATACTTTTAATATAATAAATAGTTTTAAATTTGTTATAAATGATCATATATCTGTATTTTTATTGGTCAATTTTATATACTGAACAGTTCGATATAAAATATAAATATCATATAGCAAACTTACTTTATATTGAACTAAATCTTCCAAATTGGCAGATTCGTTATATTCAGAATCGATTGTATAGAGCTATAGATTTTAATTGTTAACTCTATTTTTCCTAGTTAAAAATCTATACCAGTTAATATATAGAAAAAGAACAAATGTACTAACATTAATTTTACATGTAATAGTTGTATTATTATTAAAAAATTAGCTTTTTATTCACGTTTAGCAAAAAATAAAATCAATAATTAACAAAATTAATACATTTTTTAAATTTCTGCTTGCATACTAATATTATATAAGTACTAACTATATTCAAATAATTAAATGCAATATTCTTTAATAATTTTTTCTTCTTATGAACTTTACGAATTTAAGATAATTTGTAATAACTCATATTAGATATTTCATCATATGTTAATCTACCTAAATTTATAGCTTTTTCTTTAATTCTTTTTCATATAGTTTGATCACGATAATTTATTAGATCTTTAATATTATTAAAATAATCATCTTTAGATAGCCTTTAATTATAGTTCTCTAAAGGAAAGTGTTCTAATATGAAAAATATTATAAAGATCATTTGTAGCATTTCTGATTTCTTTGTTAAAGCACATAGTTTCTATACTATCTGTAGTATATTTAGAGATATTAGAGTTATATAAATATTAAAAGTTTTTTATGCAATCATGTTGGATTAAGAAATACTCATCTCCTCTTTTGATTATCATTATATTATTTGTATTTTTAACTTCTTTATTTCAGATACTTTTTGAAATGTTGCTAAACAGTTTTTCTTTTTTTTTTAAATAATAGAGGGCAGATAACTTTGTCTCCTAATTCAATACTTTCTAGAACTACTTTGTTCTAACATTTACCAATCCTTTTGAGAATTTTTGACATTTTTATAAGTAATGAGCTTAAGTTATATTAATGGGAAAAATAAGAAAAAAGAGAAATGCTTTGTAATTAACTAACTAATTCATTCAACAAGCAATTCATTCAAAATCAGTAAATTGAATTCAAAAAGTTTTACTAAAAAAAAATTTTTTATTAATACGTAAAAAATAAATACAAAGTCTGACATGATATATAATGAAATTTCTATCTAATAGTTGCGAATTATTATACTTGCTTATTATTTTATATAATAACCTACAATCTTAGCCCTTTTCATGTCTATCCTTTAATAACCTTATAATTAGTCAATAATTCATTTATAACCAAATCTCAAATCTCTTTCAAAGTATTTTTATTAGTAGTAATCCATTATAATCATCTGCCTTTAAGCTAAAAAATGCCTTCATTTTTAGAAAAGTATATAAAGAGAAAGATTATTGTACTATAAAAGCATAAATTTACTGATTTAGTAGAATCAGCATGTGAATATCTTAATTATTTCGATAGTACTTATATTGTAATCACAACTATTTTCAGATCACCTTATGGTTAACAGTTTAGATAATACTCAATAAATTCTTATTAGCAAAAAATTGAATAAATTTACATTCTATTGCAACTTCCACTATATCACTTTATACTCATTTTTTTATTTATTATTAAGTTTTTTAGCATCTCATTGAGTTTATCTATTATATTCACTATCATTTAAATGGATATTAAATCTCTTAATATTTTTAAACAATTTATTTCACCAATAAACTATCCTAATTTATAACCTTTATTATTTAACCTTCTTTTATAATTATTATTTGATCTATAATTATCTATTTACTAAAAATTAAGTGAATGTGAAAGTTTAATTTATTAATTATAATTAAATTATCACAATATACTAAAAATTAACAATTTTTACATTTTATATCTATATAAATTAATTATTTAATTTGATTTTAAAATGCATATTAAATATTGTAATGCATAAAATACTTTTTTTAAAAATTGACTATTCTGCAAATAATTTATTTTTATATAAAGGAGATGGCATTTTTAATTAATAGAAGTTATTTGTACAAATCATTATAATTTTTTTTTGATTATTCAAAAAAAAATTGTGACTTTTTTGATTATATAACTTTTTTTATTTGAAAAAAAATTGTGACATGATTATATGAAAAAAAGTCAATTTATACATTTTAGATATATATAATTATTTCAAAATTTATTGATATAACAAAGAACAAAGTATTATACACTGGTCAAAAAATAAAAATTCGGTCATATTAATGTTTAGCCTATATTAGACTAAAATCAAAAGTATTCAGCCTCAATTAGTAACGATCTATAATTAGACTTGCATTAGATCTTGTCAAATAATAGTTGAATGGCAGCCAAATAATATTATATAATAAATAAATTTAGAATAGTCAATAAAAAATAATTTTGTAACAATTTTAGTCAATAAATTTTTCTTTATTAAAAATGTTTGTTAAATATTATATTCATATAACCTAAATGAAACTTTTTATTTAGTGGTATAGTTGCTAAGTATTCTCTAACATTAGACTGATTTGATGTTTTATATTTTACAGGTATGAATCGATATAAAACATTGTGTATTAGAATTATATTGTCTCTACTGGTTGGGAAGAAACTGTTCTCTCACAATTCGACTGGCATCATTGTTAATACTAAAGTAAAATTAAATTGAAGATGAACCAACCACTTTATACTATCTAACATAAGCCAGTTTATATGTTAAATTCTGAGAAAATATACGAATGCTATGTTTAAAGAAATATTGAACTTGGTCAGGTAAGTATCAACACTCCCATTACAATTAATAAATTTAGCCAAAATAAAAGAACTTTTAATATGTCGTAGTGAAGCAGCAGATCTAAAAATCTCAGTGCTGATTCAACATCTTTCGTATTGATTCACCTTAATGTTAACTATTATTAAATCAGGTGAATCGTTCATAAATAGCTTTCTAAATGTCAAATTTATATATGTATCTCTGTAATATTTAACAAGATAATTGTGAATTGACTCCTCAAGATAAACATTTTTGAATTGTGGTTATAAAAATTCCCCTGAAAAATTTTTGCAACTAGTAACTGGCGATTCTAATATATTTTTCAAATTCATCAAAAATCGGTATATCTCTTCTGTCGAAAATTCATCAGCATCAGAAAGTGACACAACGGATGATCGATTATCGAGTAATTCAAGTCCTTTTACTTTTAAACTAGAACTAGTAATATCGTTTACTTTTGCTTCAGCCATCAATCAGCGCATTAATTCAAGTTCAATTTGGCGCTGACTATTAAGCAATGATCTTAATAAAATAAGCAAAATAAATGGTAAATAATCAGAAAATTAAACATTAAAAAGTTAATTACATTACCTAATATGCCATTCATTCATTTAAACGAAAAACACCAAAATGAATACAATGGATCATAATCATAAGAGCATTCATATAAATGTAACGAAAGGTAAAGATTCAACATTATTTTTTCTTCACCATAATGCTCTTCGATTAATTTTATGATTTTTATTAAACTATTATGGAATTCAACCATCTCATCGACTTCTACAATTCGTTTGACTAGAATTCTATACACTATGATGAAATAAGTAAGAATTTTTTGATCTTTGGATAGAAGGTGATCCCATAGTATCACAGTGGCATATATCAAGAAAAAGTTTCGCCATTAGTCTGCCGTAAAATTAGAAAACCATGAATTTTATTAGGGATCTGTCCTAAATCAGCTGGTACTTGAAAATCGTTAATTTTCTTTTAGATTGATTGAAGGATATTTTGTATTAGTATATTTTCATCAATTTATATTCTTTTTACAATCTATTTAGTAATGTCTAAAAAAAAGTAATGCATAGGATCTACTACAACAAATCTAATTAGATCAAAATATGGCAGACGTAGTAGTTCAGACCATCTTACACAATTTTCTTTAATGAATTGAGATCATTCAATATTACTTTTACATCGTCGCCAGCTTAAAGCATTTTGTCAATGTGTTATTAAATCTTTTATAATAAACCATTTGTCTATATCTGCTATACCACTGAAATTATGTTGATTATCAACATAATTTGCCTTTTTTCACAACGATAACATGATACAAGAGCAGAAATATGTTCGCATAACTTTCATGCTGCAGGAATATCACACAAAGCTATTATTAAAGCAATGCGGATACTTTTACCATTTGGACATTTGTGTATGTGATTTAGAGTCACTCCTTTCTAAAATGACTCAAATTCTGTAACTATAGGTGAAAGATAATGGTTTATTTGTGCAGGCTAACCTCATTAAGTCCTAGTAATATATTAAGTATAAGCATATTTTCAGGTTAAACTAAATATTACGCAGTAAATTACATATTGTGGCATATAGCACTCTTGTACTATAAATTATATCTTCATACGGTTGAAACCAATCCAAATTAATGATTAACCTAAGTTGATTATCAGCTTTCTCTGGTCAAAAAAATTTATCTGATCCTTGATCAGTTGATTCTTTAAAGTTTCGCTATATCTGATCATCGTAAATATTTGATAAGATATTATCTTATTGTAAACGATTAGTCTAATATCATAATGACTTTTCGAATCCTGGTCTAAGAAACATGTTAGAAAATTGTTGTTGAATACTTGCAACTGGATAAATTAATTCAAGTTTGAATGATATGCTATTATTTAAAATAGTCTACTTTGCTAAAGGAGTTTGACATTGCTTGAATCACTTTGTAGCTGAATTAAGGAATTCTATATAGCTACATTTTATAATCGTTTGATTCTGAATGTTAGCTACATCATCCTTCTTATATAATTTATAACATTTTTGATAAGCTGCAAAACATATAAATTGATTAACTAGGCCTAAAGTTTATCTTGCCAAATACAAGAATTTTGGAAATGATTCATATTCAGATCCTTCACATTCTTCTAATAGAATTCTAATAAATTTTATTAGAGTCTCAGTTGCAGTATTTGGTAGTTTAAAATTTGACCTGAACTTCATTATCCATATTTAAATCTATACAGTTCAATCTTGTTTTAGTAGTTCTGAGGCAGTTGGTAAGTCGAATACAGAATGGAAATAATCTTTAAAATTATTTGAAAATTCAGCATCATTTCTAACATCTCTTTTATCATCTTTGGTTGATGAATTACTATCAGAATTTTCAGAATTATCAAAATCACCTTCAAAATCATTTTCACTTAGCATGATTACATGTCGAAAGATTGCTGTTCTTTTCCTTTTATGTGGAAGAAATGTGAAAGTTTGTCCTTCTAATACGTCATTATCATCAATTGGTTCTTCTAACACATTGTCCTCATTGATTATTGATTGTGTCAAATGTCTTTTATCAAATGACTTAATTAATAATCAAGACATTGAAGTCTCAGTTGGTAAAATATTAATAGATGAAGATGTTAATGTCTTATTCGCCTTCATTTCATGTACCCTTTTTGTGTGTAGATCAACCAGTTTTCCATTACATTTGCCGCAAAGACATTGAACTTTTGACCTTAGTATTCTTGTTATAATTTTAATATCTTCTATAAAAGATGAATTTGAGTTTGAAGAGCTTAAGTTATCCTTTAAAATATTAGTGACTAAACATTTTCTTTCATTCTTAACGTTAATAAAACGATAAATAGAGTAGTGAAAGTTGTTTTATCAAATTCATCACATAAAATTTTATGTTATATATATATATATACTATTTAACTTTAATTTCAATTTGACTAACTCGTTAATTTATTGATGAATATAAGTTTAATTTTATCAACTTTAATTAATTTGACTAACTCATTGATTTATTGATGAATATAAGTTTGATTTTATTAATTTGACTAATTCATTGATTTATTGATGAATATAAGTTTAATTTTTTTGACTAATTGATTTGGTTGATTAAAGTTTGATCAATAGCAAAATAAAAAAGTATAAATAAAAAGTAGTTGACTCTTCTTATCACAAATTTTTTTTTTCTTTTTTCTCACAATGATAATATTTCTTTTAAAGAAAAATTATTTAATATGTCTCAACCACTAAAGAGAGTCTATTATTCTAGGTTGAAAATTCCAAATACTCTATAAACAGCATCAGATCAACAACTTGCTCTATTTCACCTAACAACAACTTTACCAGTTCGTTCAGTTTGTCTAACAACTGCGTCAGTTCATCTAACAGCTGTGCAAGCATGTCTAATAACTGCATCAGTTTATCTAATAGTTACGCAAGCATGTTTAATAACTGCGCAAGCTTTTTATTCAACAACTATGCTAACCCGTCAAATTGAAGAATTAACTAAACAAAAATATCCTAATATTAGAGTTCCAAGATTGATTAATAGTTATGATAAATGTTAAACTGGTAATAAATAAGTCTATTTTATTGTGAATTGTAAAAATCAACTATATAGTATCACCATCAAATTTTATGTCATCTATGCTTCTAAATATAAAAATTGAAAAATTGAATCAAATAATTTAAACAGTTAATTTGGAAATTGAGAATTTAAGAAAGGAAAATAATCAGCTACAAAACGAAATCTAACAGTAACGAGAAAAAGAAACTGAATTTATAAAAAGAATTAGAGGCCTAGAAGGACAGGTTCGACAGTTTGAAGAAGATAATAACGTGCTTCAAACGTTTAACGATAAATTTGGAAATGAAAATGACAAATTAATGATTGAGAGTAATGAATTAAAGGCTGAATTGATACGTTATCATCAATATCGAGTTGTGAGAAATATTCCTTCACTAATTATAGACAAAAGATCAGCATCACCAAATGAAACGAATGCTGAAAAAGCAAGAGTAGAAATTTTCTTATGATTTGACAAATTGTAGTTGTTATACAATGCATATGATATTTCATTATAGATTGAGATGAAAAATCTGATGAAAGGTCAGATATCAGCCGAATATCAACTGGATTATGAAAAAACGTTCTCTGAACAATCGACAACTATTTACAAAAAACTGATTTTAAAATTAAAGAGGCTTATGAATAGAGTTTTTAACCCTTCTGTAATACAACTTTTGAATTAGATCAAAGCTATTCACAAACACAGAAGAGATCGATTATGAAAATGACAGATTGGAGCATTGGAAAAGGTCAATCGAAGGTTATATATGAATACTTAGTTTTCTGAAGTGATTATTTATTTAGTTAAATAAAATCTTTTTGTTTCATTTATTTTATATATACAGTTGTTTGATAATTAATCTGAATAATATTCAATGGAAGAAAAATAAATGAATAAAAATGTCATTTAAATTATTCAACACGAATGAAGAAAAAGTTTCAAAATTCAATAAAAATAAAGTTTTGTTAATTCTACAAAAAAATGAATGCCATTTGTTTGAACAATCAGATAGCGAAGATGAATATTAAATAAAGTAGCAGAGAGAAAAAATTTTTTTACATATCTATAACCATTCATAGTGCTCAAAAAAGGTAAATACTATTTTATAATATATATATTATATTTATTTAAACAATACTTATTCAACCACTTTTTATCTTTGTGTTTTTGATAGTTAAAATCGTTACTTAGAGACATATTAGACCACGTATCCGAACAATTTCAGCATATGAAGAAACAATAGAAATGTATCTATAATGACGAGATATATTTTACTTCAAATAAAGCACCTGAAAATATATCCAAATAGACGACCGGTCAAAATAAATTTTTATACGAAACAGACTAGATAAATAAAACCAATGAAATTAACCACAATTTCGATGCTGAAATTGATATTAACGATAGTGGTAATAATTATCTAATAGACTTTTTAATAGACGAAATACAACCTGAGGATTTCGATAAAGAGGGTGAATCATCCACGATTGCGTCTTAAGTAATTCAAATAATTTATTATTTTTATATTTAAGAACTAACAATTTCTATTATCATGTTATGTTTAAAATTAAAGAACTTATTCAACTGACTGAAAAGGAAAAAGAAAATTAACTGAATTAAACGAAAATTATTATTATGCCAATTATTAACTGCTTTTTATTATTCGAATTTAATTCAAATATTAATATTTCATTATAAACAATAAATAATATATATATATGTATATCAATTATTATAATTAAATAATACAATATAAATGATTTTATTGCTATATATAATAATATATATAAAGTATAATGAAATTAAGTCGAATAACTTATTAATTTACTTTGAATATATTACTAATGTTAGTCAAACATTCTGTTCAAATATCAGACTATTGGCAGCCTAATCACACTAAAACTATAAATCTTAATTTAACGCAGATTAAATTACCATTAGGCCTATATTCAACCTGGTTGAATTTAGATCTAATGGCCATTTTTTGACTGGTGATATTTATATCTATAGACTATTATTAGTATTTTAATTTAAAGAATTTTATAATTTTAAAGCAAAACATCACATATTCGTAAAATTCTATACTTTTAACTATAATTTTTCTTGCATTTTCTAGAGTTATATTATTATTATAATCTTTTTGAATTAATCTGCTTATCACTTCTGATACCAAAACTTCTTATATATAATTCATTAGTTTTAATAAAAATGCTTTAAAGCTATCAAAGCATTAGCAATAAAGTATAATCCTTTATATCTATAATATCCAGCTTATAGATTAATATGATTTAATAAAGCACTTGAAATATCTCATATCTATTAAAAAGTATTATTAGTGATTAAGCCTTATTATATCTAATTAAAGGTAACTTTTCAGTAATAACTTGCTAGGTTTCCATAAGTTCATCTTTAAAATATTTGAATACATGAAATTAACTGATTAAAATTAATAAATTCTGATACCTCTTTAATAAACCATTTGAAATGATATGTAACTCAGTATGACGCATAACACAAAATGAATAATGAGACAAAAATCATTGATAATATTATGAGTAGCAATTAGTTTAGACCCTTACAAATAATGACATTTTATTTGACAGCATCAATAAAAGAAATTATAAAATATAAAACTAAAATATTTAGCTAATTTGTAAGATTAGTTATATTTAAGACCTAATAGAATGTTGTAAGACTGAATATGCAAAACAAATGCAAATAATTAACAATTTTTTAATTTGAAAAGATTATGAAATACAGTAGCAGTTATAAGTATCTGACCCTTATAATTCTTAAAGTTAATTCAAGTACAATACCAATATTGATCACACGTAAAATTATAAGCTTGTATAACATATAAATAAAAAATTAGATGATCGATGAATTTTGCATATAAAGTACTGATATTTTTAATAAATTAAACAAAATAGTTTTTTTATATAAATTTCAATAATGACTGAAATGGAATTTCAAAAATATAGCTACTTTATATCTATTGTAATAAAATTATAATGTTTATTGTATTTAAAAATATCATTTAAATAAAGATTTTAGAAATAAACAAAAGTTATAATATTTGCTAAAATGTCCATATTATAGTGATTTTTTAGATTTGCGAATTGATAAACCAATTTTCTTTCAGCAAAAACCTAATGTTAATTTACATATAATTTTTATAAAAGTGACTTTTGGCTTATATCTATGAATATTTTAGAAAAGATAACATAGTAAATTTGGCAAAAAGTTAATAAATACAAACATTATTCAAAAATTAAAAGGAAGAATACAGTATTATTGAAGTTCTCTAACTTATTGTGTAATTTATCTAAAATTCTATAAAAAATGTGTAATAACTCCTAAACAATTAATATGTTAAAAAAAAAATTCATTTTTTTTGAATAAAAAATCTACCGATCTAATTTTACATGTGATCAACATTGGTATTGAACTTAAATTTTGGAAAATATTAGCGGTCGGATACTTATGACCGCTACTGTAAATAATAAAGATTTTCATTGATAGCCTGTATTTATTTATTATTTAATGGTTAGAGAAGTATTTTTAAATTAAATAAGTCACGAGGGGTAAATGTTGATAATAAATAATAAATAATATAATATAATAAATCATGTGCTTGTGAGCAAAGAAAAAAATGGACTTTTCTTTAATCTAACTAAATTAATGTTACAAGATCTATCAAATTGTGGAGAATGTCAAATTTGAAAGGGTTAGTTTAGAGATGTTACGCAAAGTGATTTTATAATTGTGTATGTACTTATACGGAATATATGATCGATCAACCACTAGAAAAATAAAAAAAAAATATATATATATATATGATCGATCAACAAAAACATTTTTTTTGTAACTACCTTTTTAAATAAAATGAGTAAACGTCACGTAAAACCTTTATCAGTTTTGAGAGAAGAGGTTCAACAGGAATATCAAAAAACACGTGAAGACTTTTATGATTCAAAGCTGTCAGAAAGCAAGGTGATTTTCATATCTAATAATAAAGTTTTTTTTCCCATTGTTTTAGAATGTATTAAATGAAATTTCAATTTTTTTTTGGTATTAAGGCCGCTGTGCATGAAAGTAGTGAAAAAATAAAGAAATTACTTCAAGAAAATGAAAGACATTTTAAAATAAAAATACCAAAATTTCATGGTGAACCATATCCTGAAATTGATAGCTTATATGTTCCAAAAGGAAAAAATGCTGGTGGACCAAGTCCTTCCAAATCTCCAAAGGAAAAAAAACCTGCTAAAATTGATTTAAATATTCAAGTAATATATATATAAATATAAAAATTAAGATATTGATAATATTTAGTGATAAATAATTTTTTCTCAATTTATGAATAAATTAGGATTCCTTATCAGCAAGTCACCGTAAAAAACGTTATGAAAAACGCAAGGCGGCTAACATTCCTGTACAAAATCAAATTCCAAGATATGCTCTCTGGACTCCAATAATAAGGAGCTCCAAGGTAATTTCATTATTTATAATTTGTTCCCTTAATTATTAGTTATATATAAGCTGTCTCCTTTTCATTTTAGACAGAAGATGATCCCGTATTAAGACATCTTTATTATTTTGGCGAAGATAGTGAAGATGATGGAGATATGGATTATTCTGATGTATATGAAGAAAGTATCGTTGGAAAAAATGCCATAGATCCAGAAGGTTAATAATTTAAAATGTATTATAATATCAAATGTTATGGATCAAATTTCTCATTACTTTAAATATAATAGGAGAGCAGATAGCTGTGAGAACTTTACATCGTATCTTTAATCAGAATAATATTTCAATCGGACTTGTTGAGAAATCACTTTTCAAGATTGATCCTAAACAAAGCAAAGGTGTCACTACATCATCTAGAATGGGTCGATCACCTGTGACAGCTAACCGTGCAATTGAGGTTGATGACCACGATGTTGAAATTGTAGAAGTGGTCGTTAATGCTCTTGCTAAAATTTTAAAAGGGAAAGAAATCAAGAAGTTATTATACAAGTAAGTAACTTAAAATTCATTAACTTTCGATTGATATTTTATTTTAACTTTTCATTTTGTTAGGTATTTGGAATATGCTCGTAAATTTGAATCTCCATTATTTACAACTGAATCAACAAGTATTCCAGACGACTCAAGTGATATGGACATAGACTCGTAATATATATTTTTACTATACTACTTTTTTCATATCAACTTTAAGTAATGCGTAATTTTCTTCACAATAGAAGTAGTGAGGGTAGCATAAATTCAATTATGCATTCATATTCTAGTTTGTGGTGTCGACGATGTTATGTGTATGACTGCAAGCTCCATGGTTCGTATACCTTTTAAGTGTAGTCTTTTTAAAACAAAATGCGTGTTAAGTAATATTTCTTTTAAGGTACCGATTTTAGACCATCTGAAAACAAAAAACGTCTTCGAACACCGAATGATAGAAATAAACCTTGTGGAGCTGATTGTTATATGCATCTTAAAAGAGAGGCACGTTCTCCGTATGATAAATGGAATGATGTCGAAATCGCCTTATTTAATAAGGCTGCATTGCTTATGGGAAGCAAGAATTATTGTCAAATAGCTGAGATTATTCCAAGTAAAAATTGTAAACAGGTTAGTGGTCCCTTAAGATAATTCTATATTGTTTAATTAATCCATTGTCTTTTGATTATATAGGTCTATCGACGATCTCGAGAACTTGGTGAAGTTGAAAAAGAGCAAGAGGTTGAGGTTGGATCATCTTCAGATGAGGCTAGAAAGAAGAATAGAAAAATTTTGACTAAAATTGGTGCGTGATTATTATGTGGACCTTTAAGAATTTTAAAAAAATAACATTTCTCAAATTTTTTAATGTTAGAAATTGATGCGGAAAATCATTCGGAGTATCACCCTTGTGATCATCCTGGCCGTCCATGTGATTTCAATTGTCCTTGCAAGAAAGGCAATGTTCCATGTGAAAAATATTGTCACTGTGATCTCGATTGTAAGTTTTGTTATTATATTATTTTTTCAATTAAGTTGCTAATTTATCATATGATAAAGGTCCAAGACGATTTCCTGGTTGTAACTGTTATGGATTTGGAAAAACATGTAGTAATCGTGGTTGCATATGTTTTACTAATTATCGAGAGTGCGATCCAGATTTATGTGGATGTACTGCTTCAGGTATTATATTGACTTTTTTTCTTTTTTATCGTATTACTTTTATTAATAAGTCTTGTTTGATGATTTTAGAATGCAACACAAATCATTCGGTTTCTGAGAATGATATGGGGAGATCTCTATGTAAAAATGTTGCAATACAAAGAAGGCAAGCTAAGGTCAGTCTAAGTTAATGATTATTCTTATTTTTAGTATTTGGCTAATTATCATTATTTTGTACCCATATAAAGCATACCATTGTCGGCGTATCTACGGTGGCAGGATGGGGACTTTTCGTGAGAGAACTTGTCAAGAAAAATGAATACTTGGGAGAATATATTGGAGAAGTAAGTACAAAATCTGCTTTCATTATTATTATTGAATTTACATAAAAAAATAAAAAATTTCTTTTTAGGTTATATCACAGGCCGAAGCTGATCGTCGTGGTAAAATTTATGATAAACGAGGCACCAGCTTTTTATTCAATTTAAATAAAGGTATTATTTTTTTTATAAGTTTTTGCCATCTAATCACTTCCAAATATAGTTAATTTATTTAATAGATTAGCTCTTGCCTGTACATAATTATCAACATTTTCAAAATGATTTTATAGATTTTGTTGTAGACGCGACTCGTAAAGGAAATAAGTTTAGATTCATTAATCATTCACAAGATCCAAATGCATATTGTCGTGGTATGTCATTTAAAATTTTTCGCCAATTCCATGTAAATCTTTTTGATATACGATTATACTAATATCTCGAAATATTAGTCACTTTGGTTAAAGGGGAACATCGTATTGGAATATATGCTTTGTGTGATCTTGAACCTGGTTCGGAATTATTCTTTGATTATAGGTATGTCGTCTTATATAATATTATTATCAGTCGTGCTTGTATTAAAACTATTTATTTATAGATATGATGGGGAAGCCTTGAAATTTGTACCCTTTGAACGTGAATGTGCTAGTAGTCCTATGAAATAGAATCCTTATGGAAATAAATCATAATTGTTTTTGATCGAAAGCAAGTCATTAATTAAAGTTGTATTTAGATTTTACAATAAAAATTTTGTGAAAGTAATCGCATTAAGTTTTAGTATAACGTCGCATTTTGACATTAAATTAGGGTATTTATTATGTCGTCGAGGTGAGTTTATTTTGACTCAGCCTTGGATTGAACCGATCAAGGTGAATCTTAAGCTGGGTCTTGTGAAGAGATAATTCTGAAAGTGTTTCTAAAATGGTTTTCATTTAAAAATGCACTACTATGCTATAGTAAAATCAATACTTTTATCCAATCATTTTTTGTATATAAAAATAAAAAATTTTTAATTTCGCGCAAGTTCGGATAGTAGTAGTTAATTTGAATGAATTTCTTCTTTATAATTAATATAATTGCAACGTTAATAATACAATTAAGCATGTTCAACATATCTACTTTTCTACTGTACACTATACCCAACAAATGACCAAAAACCTAGCAAGCTTGGAATATGCCAGAACAAATTTTTGTCGTGAAAATTGTAAGTTTTCGATTGATTCTAAACTCAACTTAATTACAATAAAATAATTTATCAACTCAATTGTCAGATAATGCCATGATAAAATTAATATATAGGGAATAGTTTAAAGATAGGTTGCAATTATGGTTGCTCAAAAAGAGAAAGTTGACCGAATTACGTGAAGCGTTTCAAGCTCCACTAGACCCGAGTAATAACAACATTTTATTTTAATGGCCCAGCTGAAAGCAATATACCGCGTTTCATAGTAATGTAAAAAGAGTGTCCCGATGGAAAACAAAATAACAATTGATTAAAAAATTATGCTGATTACCAAGTCCTAGTAGACGATCACTTATCAGCAGAAACGAGTTATAAAACTGTTTATCAAGATTTTCATGTTAATAAAATATGATGCGTTTCACAAGTTATGACACCAATTAACACCTCATCCGAAGCACCAGCGTAATTATTATTAATAGTGACATTTATAACATTCGCACTTTGTGAAAAGGAGGGAAGTAAACGCAGGTGTTTCTACAGAAGGTGTTACAGGTCTTGACACCTCAAACGAATCCTCGGACTGTACAACAACTGATGATCCCTCAGGTGAGTTACCAGAGGTAACTGATCGCTCAGGTCTCTCTGGAAAGGAACTTGATTGTTCACCTTTCAGGTCTAGAAATTGTTGAGGTGTAGATGCCTCTACATGTGTGTTGATGTTGCTGCTTAACCTCCTAACTTTCTCATTGCGCCTTCGTTCGAATGGTAGTTCTAACAAAATTACAATAGATTGATGTAATAATAATTCATTTTGATGGAGGGCATCCACTCCAAGAGCATAGTTACCAGGCTTTAACCAAACTCGATAGAAAACTCCTCATAAAGATCATCTCCAATTAAGATCTTTTTTTCCCCACCGTCTAATGCCGTCTAATAAATAATAAAAGTATATTGGCTAGCCAGATTCTTCGTAGAGTCCAAGCAAGTATTACTTTCTTTAAATGCCTTCGTAAAATTTGTGAATTTCTTACGACAAAAAAAAGGAAAAATCTTTAATTACACGTTAAGCAATAACTTTTTTAAATATGAGGTGAAGTGGAATGTTATAACAATTAATTGTGAATCAGTAATTTTGCCTTGTATTATTTTTTTTTGCAGATTCTAATCTTAGGAAAGTTCTCTTGCAGAACTTAGATAAAATTGAAAATTTTCCAAACTCATGAGTTAGAAAATTAAATTGTAGAAAATTATCTCCAGAGATGTATTAAAAATAACCTCAGTTTGCTTCTCATCATATGAAAGTGTCTTACGGTAAGATGGTATCATAAGTCTCATGTTTTTCATATACAATTTACGGAGAAATTAAATAAAAAAAATCTATTAGTATCTTATTAAATAAAAGCTAGTTAAACAATTAATGAATGAGCTATTTTCACTTATAAGCCAACCATTTACTTCTAATGATTCTGCATCACTAGCTTCTGACAGAATAAGTCTACCATAAATGTTTCTTTTACGCTTAACAGAATTATTGATATATTCAGAAAGAAAAATTTATTAAACTTGATTGAAATGAGAATTAAGTATATCAAAATATACTAGGGGTTTAGGTTTTTAAATTTGTTCTTTTAAGAAAGGCATACGCATTCTCACATATTCTTGTGTAAATAGAATATAAAACGCGTCTTTGATGAAATTTTCAACTACAGTCAACCCTCTCTAAATGCATCCTCTTGGGACTATAGTGAAATTTTTAAAAAATGTGCACTTAAAGAGGGTGTGCATTTAAAAGAAAGTTTCTATATGAATTCTATATGCTTAGGACTGAATGAGAGCATGTATTTAAAGAGAAAATATATAGCGTGTGTATTTAGAGAGGATTAACTATACATAAGTAATAATGCAAAACATTTCAAAAAGAACAGTTAAGAAAAAATATACTCAATTCTCCTAATCCAAGCTTTCTTGCCTTCCTTCATATTGGAAAAGGGTTTTAATTTATTTAATGTGATGATATTAAGCAACTTAAATTATTAAATATTATAAATAAAATAATATAATATTGCATTAAAAAAGTCTACTTTATTTACTCACATATCGAAGAAAATAAAATAAAATATTTCAGCATTCAATAGTGAAAAAAAATCTCTTTATTTTATCATAGTATCTTAATTATTATCTTAATTATTATGATGTATCTAAAATAACTATAATACCTGCAGATATTACTAATGATTATTTATTATAATAAGATATCTTTATTTTTATTTGAGTTCAATAAGGATTTTTCAAATCCTTAAAGCATGCAATTAACAAGAATATTTGAAATTAAATAATGATTATATGCAATGATATAGACTACAAATAATGATTATAATGTTTATTGATAAAAATTGATCTCTGTTCAAGTAAATGAACTTTAAGATAAATTAAACTACTCGTTTATTCATCATGTTAATATAAACGCAATTTCTGTATTTTAATTATAATGTAAAGATTGAGAAAGTTCATAATAATATATCATTGATTAAACTATTAATCAGTGTTAATATATTAGATTACATCGTGCGTCAATTCTTCCTTTCAAACTTACTATCAAAAAAAAGATGGCAACTCTCGAATGAGTTGAATAAGAGTTAGAAGATGCGAAGAAAAGGTTTTATATAGTTAAAGAGAAGTTGGATAGACTGAAAAAACTGAGGAGTGGAATAGCACAGCCTAGATGGAATAGCAAGCAGGTGAACTTAGAGAGGAAAGAAGAGAATCTGAAGGCAAAAAAAAGCAATGTAATGATCAGGTAGATATGCTACTGGTGAAACTGGTAGCATATACTCAACCAGGTAATAACTTTGTGACTTAGGCGTTAGGACATAGAGTAATATGTATATAGGGTAATATGTTTTCTCATGTTATAAATTTTCAGGAGAGCGTTCAAATATACAGTAACTTTGCTTCTAACCCTTATAATTTTTTTCTAAATAGCTCTGAAATGGGCTTATAATCAAGCAGATCTAGCCCTATAAAAAATTTACATACGTTTTTTCATTATTATAAATAAGTTTTGTATACGTTTTTTGAAATTCTGTAACACATTTTCTTATATTTTATAAGGAATTTTTTTTAGCATTTTTTTTATAAAAAATGATGTATAAGGAATTGTTAATTAATAATATATAAAAATAATAAAAAAAATTATATTTTATTACATTGAAAATTATAAGGTTTTTACAATAAAATTATATGTTTTTTAAAAATTAATATTTTTTTTGATTGATTTATACCAAAAACAAAAGAATTAATGGATTTGTTATAATTTATAAAATTGGTACTTGTTTGCTATTATTATTATAAATAGTATCCAGGCTGCATAACGAGAATGTTAGTACCTTAACAGCCTAAAAAAAAATTTGAGTTTTCAGCTGATATTTAATATGAACTGGACTTCGCTACTCAAAATAAATATATAAACTTAAAGTGTTTAGAGTCCCATTCCTCAAGACAAAAAAGAAAAATAATTTAAAAAAAAATGTATATTGAGAATAAAAAAAAAATAAAAAAAAATGATTTAAAAAATAGCAAAAAAAAAAGAAAAAAAAATTGTACATTAAGTAAAAATAAAAATAAAAAATAAATAAAAAAATTTCTGATAAAAAGAGAATAGAATAATTAGTAAATATAAATTTATTAAAATAATTATTAAATATATATAAAGTTATTAAAAAATATTTGTATTTATAATTTTTTGAAACTTCTGCTGCTAAAAAGAAATAAAGTTATTACTAAATATAAATTTGTCAAAAATTAAAACTTTAAAATGTTTGTATTTACTATTTGGAGCAGATCGCTCCTCTAAAAAGAAAATAAAGTTATTACTAAGCATAAATTTGTCAAAATATCAATCCTTTTAAAGAAAGTATATATTTACCATTTTTTACATTAGAAGTCTTTCACTTTTTTTCTATAAAAAAAAAAAATTAGCAATCCAAAAAAAAAATATATAATTAAACTTTAATAACAAGTATATTATTATACCACCTCTAGAGTCTCTCTGCTCTCATACTCATTTATTCATTTAGAATTCATTATCGTATTCATTACCTAAAAAATATATATATAAAATATTTTAAAAATATATTGTAAAAATTAAAAATTTTATTAAATATAAATATAA